ATAACTTAAAATTAATTCAGATTTTGCAGAAAATAGTATTGAGTGTCAATTAGTTATAGATGACAATAGTTATGATTTAAGTAATTTAAGATCTGGAGTTGTATATAAATTTTTTAGAGATAATGTTTTTAAAGATCCTACTTGTATTTCTCATTGGGAAAGTAATGGTTTTAATGTTGAATGGAAACAAGTATGGAAATCTGTATTTTTTAAAATGAAAAGTTCTGAATGTATAGATAATGATTTTAAAATTGTACATAATATAATTTGGAATAATCTTAAATTGTACAATATTAACATATTAGATAATCCTTGTTGTAAATTGTGTAATGATTTGAAAGATGAAACACTTCTACATATGATTTTTGAATGTACATCAATTAAGCCTCTTTTAAATATGATTCAAGATATGTTAGAATATTTCTCTCAAAATACTGGTTTTACTTATGATCAGTTTAAATATTGGATGATTTTTGGTTATCCTGTAAGAAAAGAAGATAATAATGTATTTCTTATTTTAGTATTTTCAATAGCTAGAATTAGTATTATTAGAAGGCGAACTTTATACAATCAAGATGGTATAATAGTTAATGTATGTACCTTATTTAAGAGAATGTTTATAAATTATATTAAAAATTTAAAGTACTATTTACAAATGAAAGGTTTTGGACATAAGTTCACTCTCATGTTTTTATCAAATCCTTATGTTAAACTGGATGGTGATAATGTTTATGTAAATATAGATTAATTCATTTTGTGGCAATATGTGATTTATTATAATTATAATTTATCTATTATTCCTGTACTATTTTAACATTCAAATATCTGTGATATTTTAATTATGATTTTAATGTAAATATGTAGTCAGTGAATAAAAGATAAAAAAAACCAGTTCTCGTCCGATCACTGAAGTTAAGCAACGTCGGGCTCGGTTAGTACTTGGATGGGTGACCGCCTGGGAACACCGATTACTGTAGACGCCCTTTTGCACCTATTTTCACGCTTGGATTTGCATTTTCACTCTTGGAAGGCTGAGTCTCGATCGCGTGTGGGCCATTTAGATTAGTTCCTGGCCTGGACAAAATTTTTGGGCCGAAATTAATGTTTCTGTGTGTACCGTAGCGTATTATATGGCCAAAGACTCGCCTGAAACATTGCTGTGTAACGTCTACGGCCATACCACGTTGAAAACACCAGTTCTCGTCCGATCACTGAAGTTAAGCAACGTCGGGCTCGGTTAGTACTTGGATGGGTGACCGCCTGGGAACACCGAGTGCTGTAGACGCCCTTTTGCCCCTATTTTCACGCTTGGATTTGCATTTTAACTCTTGGAAGGCTGAGTCTCGATCGCGTGTGGGCCATTTAGACCAGTTCCTGGCCTGGACAAAATTTTTGGGCCGAAATTAATTTTTCTGTGTGTACCGTAGCGTATTATATGGCCAAAGACTCGCCTGAAACATTGCTGTGTAACGTCTACGGCCATACCACGTTGAAAACACCAGTTCTCGTCCGATCACTGAAGTTAAGCAACGTCGGGCTCGGTTAGTACTTGGATGGGTGACCGCCTGGGAACACCGAGTGCTGTAGACACCCTTTTGCACCTATTTTCATGCTTGGATTTGCATTTTCACTCTTGGAAGGCTGAGTCTCGATCGCGTGTGGGCCATTTAGACCAGTTCCTGGCCTGGACAAAATTTTTGGGCCGAAATTACTGTTTCTGTGTGTACCGTAGCGTATTATATGGCCAAAGACTCGCCTGAAACATTGCTGTGTAACGTCTACGGCCATACCACGTTGAAAACACCAGTTCTCTTCCGATCACTGAAGTTAAGCAACGTCGGGCTCGGTTAGTACTTGGATGGGTGACCGCCTGGGAACACCGAGTGTTTCGACCAGTTCCTGGCCTGGACAAAATTTTTGGGCCGAAATTAATTTTTCTGTGTGTACCGTAGCGTATTATATGGCCAAAGACTCGCCTGAAACATTGCTGTGTAACGTCTACGGCCATACCACGTTAAAAACACCAGTTCTCGTCCGATCACTGAAGTTAAGCAACGTCGGGCTCGGTTAGTACTTGGATGGGTGACCGCCTGGGAACACCGAGTGCAGTAGACGTCCTTTTGCACCTATTTTCACGCTTGGATTTGCATTTTAACTCTTGAAAGGCTGAGTCTCGATCGCGTGTGGGCCATTTAGACCAGATCCTGGCCTGGACAAAATTTTTGGGCCGAAATTAATGTTTCTGTGTGTACCGTAGCGTATTATATGGCCAAAGACTCGCCTGAAACATTGCTGTGTAAAGTCTACGGCCATACCACGTTGAAAACACCAGTTCTCGTCCGATCACTGAAGTTAAGCAACGTCGGGCTCGGTTAGTACTTGGATGGGTGACCGCCTGGGAACACCGAGTGCAGTAGACGTCCTTTTGCACCTATTTTCACGCTTGGATTTGCATTTTCACTCTTTGAAGGCTGAGTCTCGATCGCGTGTGGGCCATTTAGACCAGTTCCTGGCCTGGATAAAATTTTTGGGCCGAAATTAATGTTTCTGTGTGTACCGTAGCGTATGATATGGCCAAAGACTCGCCTGAAACATTGCTGTGTAACGTCTACGGCCATACCACGTTGAAAACACCAGTTCTCGTCCGATCACTGAAGTTTAGCAACATCGGGCTCGGTTAGTACTTGGATGGGTGACCGCCTGGGAACACCGAGTGCTGTAGACGCCCTTTTGCACCTATTTTCACGCTTGAATTTGCATTTTCACTCTTGGAAGGCTGAGTCTCGATCGCGTGTGGGCCATTTAGACCAGTTCCTGGCCTGGACAAAATTTTTGGGCCGAAATTAATTTTTCTGTGTGTACTATCACCAAGCAATATCTCATATGTGAATATTTGCTTGCTTCATGTTAAAACCATGTGGTATTATGTTGTATGTCTATTTATCTCTTATTATAGCTAGTTAAAGAGAAGATTACCTACTTAATTAAGCTGATTCAGATATAAGGAGAGATTAGTATTTAATGTAATTAATTACAATTAGTAACCTGCCCTTATTAAGTTTTAATCCAATGGTTGCATTGTTTAGGTAGCAACCGGGATAGGGCTATATAAGTCCCAAAGATATGTGATCTCGGAGGAACTACCATGCAACCCAGGGTAGCAAGGCCGGAGTTCTCCAATATCGTGATAGTAAAGCCAAGCGGGGGCAAAACTTTCGGCAGCACGAAGTCGAAGGTCATCGGCGACTTCATCCGGAAAGAGTGGAAGTATAGCTCTCTTCCGGAGGTCAAGGTCCTGGCTAACGGCAACGTGCGGCTGAATTTTGAGTTCCTGGCAGATGCGGTTTATGCTGCCAATCAAACCGCACTGTGTGGGATGAAGGTGGACTCGGCCATGTCCACCTTCAACAAGACGGAACGGGTCGTCATTTATGGCGTCCCCTCCGAGTACTCTGAGGGTGAATTGCTGGAGGATCTTAAGCTCCGCAATCACGCTGTAGAGGGTTTATACCTCTACAAACCTCGGGAGGGCAAGTCCGTTAGGACTGTCCAATTAATCTTTGCAAGCGGGAAAGTACCTAATGGTCCTCTTCCCCTTCTATATTCCAGGTACCAGCTCCACCCTTACATCCCCAAGGTACGAAGATGTCAGAAGTGCCAGAAGTTGGGTCACCTGGAGAAGTTCTGTCGCAGCAAAGTTTGCTGCGAAAAGTGTGGAGAGGGGCACAGCACCAAGCTGTGTAAATCCAAGAAGGTACGGTGTGTGAATTGTCTCAGTGATAACCACTCCAGCAACTCCGCACAGTACCCTTCGTTCCTGTCGAGAAGAGCGGAAATAAGGATACAACACACCTACAAGGTATCCTCCCAAGAAGCTCGCCATCACGTCTCGGCCAACACGGCGTCCGCTGCCCCCAAGCCCGTGGTCGAATGCCCCAAACCTGCCCCGGCTCAAACTCCGAAAGGATTCACGCCGGAGTTCAAGGACGAGTCTAAATTTTTTGATTTCTGTTGGAGGTTGGTTGCAGTAGCAATCAGTTCCAGATCCAAGGCTGGTGAAATCAATCCAAAAGACGTCATGGACGCAGTATCAAAAGTATGTGCCGACCACGTCACGAATCTACAACCACCAAATAAGGATACCAAACAAAAGAGGAAGAGATCCAGTACGGATGTTCCGAAGACTGACGTAGTGGGTCAATCAGTGGAAACGCCAAGAAAAGTAAAGGCGGTATCCACGAGTGGCCAACCTCGTCAGTCAAGGAACATCTGCAGAAGTACAGGCTCCAGACCCGTGACTGAGCGCTCTAGAAGCACTTCGTTAGCTAGACCACTGTCCACTGGCTCAGTAACGGAAATGGACGTAGAGGTTTTTACGGCACCCCAAACCCCATGCTAAAACCATACTGATCCATAAAGTCATTAATTATTTTACATTCAATTTCAGGTTTATACAGCTGAATATCAATGGTTTGAACGTACCTGAACGAAAGACCCAACTGGTACAGCTACTACAAAGGAAGCAGTATGATGCCGTTTTTCTCCAAGAGTCCAAGCTCGGTTCAAGGAATAAAGACCCTATCATCAATGGTTATACTTTGATCAGATTAAACAGACCTAATGCTCTCAACCATCGAAGTGGTGGGGGTCTGGCCATCTACATCAAAAATGGTATATCCCATAGTGAGGTTCCTCTGAAAACCATCGCTCCTCTGGAGGCACAGGCGGTATCCTTTACCGACAAGTCAAAGTTTTTTTCTATCGTTAATATTTATCGACCCGAAGTCAAAGGCAAACCTCAGCGATTCAGTGAATATCAGTATGTTTACGATCAGTTGCCCGGGACCGACAATATTGTGCTTGGTGACTTCAACGCCAAACACGTATTGTGGGGCTCGCCAACAACTGACACTAATGGTAGACAAGTTGCTGAGTTCATTGAGGCCAATGACCTGGTTAGCATAAATGATGGTAGCATTACTTATGTTGGTGCAATTGCTCCTCTTGGTTCGCATCTCGATCTCACATTAGTAAACAGTCGGTTAGCTAAAGACTGTACGTGGGAAGCAACCAGTGAGACCCTTGGAAGAGACCATGTTGTCATTGAAATCACGCTGTCACGCAATGTTGTGAAGGAGGAAGTCATGTGTCAAGGCAAATGGAGACTAGGGAAGGCTAACTGGGATTTCTTTAGGCGTCATTTCACTCGTTCCAAGCTAGATCTGGCAAGGGACGAGGACGTCTCTAGTTTTTCTGGGAAGTTGACTCAGGTTATTACTGATGCTGTTATGGGCTCTATTCCCCGGACTAAGGATGGCATTGCATGTAGGTCACCCAAGTCCTGGTGGTCCGATGAACTCCAGGCTGCCGTGGATGCCCGCAAGCGGGCTCTACGACGGTTTCAGAGGAAATCGGACCGTTATACCAAGGCAGAATACTTAGCGGTCAAGGCTTCTACAGCTGCTCTGTTGCGTGAATCACAAACAAAGCACTGGCAGGAGTTCTGCAACTCATTAAATGAGAAGACCAACCTAAGATCTGTCTGGGGTAAAATAGACTCAATGCTTGGTAAAAAATCTAATTCTTCCATTCCAACTCTTTGTTACAGGGATTCCACAGAATACAGCAATGAAGGAAAAGCCAATTTGTTAGCCAAGTGTTATGCTGACGGCAGTGCTGATACCAACCATACCAAAGAATTTCTAAAGAACAAGAAGACCTTCTACACCAACCACACTCCAATTCATCATTCGCCCTTAGAGGATGAACGGGATCTTAACGCTCCCTTCACCCTCGACGAGCTGAAGAAAGCACTGTACAGTAAGAAAGACAGCGCTACTGGTGAAGATAATATCAAGTACAGCATAATAAAGGAGTTACCAATGGAAGCGTCTACAGTTCTACTAGAATTATTCAACAAATCATGGTATAATGGTACAATTCCGAAAAGTCGGAAAACGGCAATGGTCATCCCTCTACCAAAACCGCAGAAAGATAAAAGTCTATGCAGTTCATCAGGCCTATTTCTCTGACCTCGACTCTATGTAAAACATTTGAGACGATGGTCAATAATAGACTTAGATACCACTGTGAACTAAATGGTCTTATCGATCCCAACCAAAGCGGCTACAGAGAGAAACGGTCAACAATGGATCAAATCGTTCGACTTCAACACGACATGGCCGCCCAACTCGGAAAGAAGAACTACTTCAGTGCAGTATTCCTGGATCTGTCCAAGGCCTTTGACTTAGTCTGGGTTGATGGTTTGCTTTTTAAACTTAATAAATTTGTCATTCGGGGTCGCATGTTCAGGTGGACTTCTTAAGGGATCGCCAGATACAAGTGAACGTCGCCAATTCTCTCAGCGAGAAGCACTCGTTGGAGAATGGCACCCCGCAAGGCTCTGTTATTAGCCCTACCCTCTTCAGCATTATGATCAATGATCTGGCCCTGGATTATGTAAAGCATATAGAGCCCTCGGTTAGCACGGCTCTATATGCAGATGACAGTTCGATATGGACTGGTCACAATGACCTCAATAAAGTTAAATGGCGTATGCAAACTGCTCTGAACCAAGCTGCTAAATGGGCAAACGACTGGGGCTTCATTATTTCGGAAGCTAAAACCGTCGGTTTGTTCTGCAGCAGAAAGAAAGATCACGACAGTATTGACCTTAGACTGAATGGTGTGAAGATTAAGCATGAGAATTCAGTAAGGTTCCTGGGAGTACACTTTGACAAGTGTCTGACTTGGAGTACGCACATTGACTATATCTGTAACCGGTCTACTAAAATCTTAAATGTTATGCGTTATGTTTCAGGTACCACATGGGGAGCAAACAGAGAAACTCTAATAATGATGTACAGCTCAGTTATTGATTATGGTTGTATTGCCTATGGTAAAGCAAGTGATACTCAATTGAAGAAACTCGACGTTCTACACATGAAAGCTATACGTATTGCCACCAGGGCAGCCGTAGGTACGAAGAATGAGGCGCTACTTCAGGAGGTGGGAGAGAAACCCCTCTCTCTTCGGAGGGAGGAGCTATCTCTCAAATTCTGGGGGAAACTTCAGTATTTGTCCGAAAGCTGTCCGACGTATTCCAGCATCAGAAGATTTACTCGTGTCGGAAATAACCAGAAGAATCGGAGTATCTCTTACGGGCAAGCGGTCACTGATCTATTGAGAGAGCATCAGCTCGATCAAGTAACGATCTTTGAACGCCGCCTATCGGTTACTCCGTTTTGGAAGGTTACCAACCCGACAGTCAACACCCAGCTGATCCAGAGTACCAACAAGCACGAGAACCCATTGGGAGCAAGAGCTCGCGCTCTTGATCTCATTGATTCTGTGTACGCCGACCATTTGAAGATCTACACCGATGGTTCCAAAAGTAGTACCGCAACAGGTTACGGTTTGTGCATCCCAGCAAAAGGCATCCGCATCAGTAAAAGGTTCCCCCTCCACTGTTCAGTGTTCACAGCAGAACTCTTTGCCATCAGGGACGCGGTAGCATGGCTGTCCGTCAATCACACGGAGCATGCCGCGATTCTATCCGACTCGCTAAGCAGCCTCCAATCTATTTTTCTTACCTCTTCTAATTGCAGGTCAGAAGTTATTTCCGAAATAAGAAGAATGATCCACAACTACCAAACCAACAACAACCAGAAGATTGAATTAGTATGGGTTCCATCGCACGTCTCCATTCCTGGCAATGATCAAACAGACCGTTGTGCCAAGGAAAGTCTGAGTCTGGAGGATATCAAGCCTGTAGAATACTCCTATTCGGAGTTCTGCAGTATCGTATCTTCTAGGATCAACCAGAAATGGGCCGACATGTTACGGAACCTCGACACCGCAAGATACCAGATTGATCCGAAGATACCAAACCAAACCAAACCAAACCACCCATCTGTAGCCATCTGCAAAGTGGCAACCAGACTCCGGACCAACAACGTACTACGAGACCATCAGTTCAACGCCATTAAATGTCGCTTCGGCCACGTTGCCACAAGGTCGCATGTCTTCATTCAATGCACTGAACTGAAACCCGCTCGTAAGCCACTGCTAGAGTACCTGGAAACCAACGGCATACCACTCACCATACAGAATGTTTTTGCTCCACCCACGGACCACTGGTATATGATAATGGAACTAGTCTTCCATTTTATAACCAAATCTGTCTTGAACAGATAGGCCAAGTTTCATTGCAGAAACATTAGAGAACATCTCTCCCCCCTTTTGTGAAAGCTTCCCCACCCCCCTCTTTCCTCCCTTTTTTTCTCACTTTCTTTTTTTTTTCTTTTTTTTTTTTCAGGTCTTCGAGTTTTCCAACAGATAACAGATAATCTAACCAAACCAAACCAAACCAACGACTACCATTCGACTACCAATCAACAAGAAATACCATGATCAGAACGAGTTTGGAAGAATGAAGGAGACCGAGTAACTCACGCCACACCATCCAGGGCCGAGTTTCACCGCCATGTCATTCGACCCGACCAGATCTAACGAAGAATCAACAACCAAACCAACAACACCGAATCATCCAATTTGATCCAATCCAACTACCAACTACTACGACTACCAACAACTACCTAGTTTGCGATATCAGCATCCGCTGGAAGCGAACGTTAACTTGTCATCTACCTACCTACATACCGTAATCTCGGAGGAAAAGAAAGATGTATTAAGAACTAGAATATCAACTGTAAATATTGTATATATATATTAAACCTATTACACCTGTTATATGAAGAAGAGTTCTGTTATTCTATTAACCACGAGACAATCAGGATCTATTATCAATATAGAGCTATACCCCCCACGTACATCAAGATATTGATAGATTCGGCGATTGGTCTTAGATGGTGGAGATGCAAAATTCAATCCCGGTATCGAATAGAATCCAGCCAAGTCAGTGATGAAATAACAGATCCAGCAGTCCTGAAGTAACTTACTAACTTCTGAAGAATTCTTCAAAAGTAACAGAGAAATAAATTTGGTAAGTGAATTCCTGTAACGTTTCTTGTGTCATACTTTTAGATTACAATAGGAGTATCAATATTTATTTGAAAACATCAAGATGATTGATGTACTAAATGTGTTCTCACCGCATAGTGATACCAAAGTGTGCCCAATGGATGTGAATGTTGTGACCCCCTTGAAGAAGAATTTCATAGATATAGCTATCAAAATGAAATCTTGTCGGTCCTTAGTGGATACAGGGAGTGCAATTACATTAATTTCTAAGGCACTGCTGGATAGTTTTTGGCCCAACATTGGGCTAACAAGAGCGAATTTTCCGAATATAATAGGTGTAGGTGGACATTTTTCAAAAGTGCTAGGATCATTACAAATGAAATTTCAAATATTAGATATTACATTTAATCATAAATTCTATGTGATCCCCAATATACACCAAGACATTATGCTTGGAAATGATTTTTTAAAATTAAATAAAGGTATTATAAATATGGAAAATAATACTCTTACCTTAAATGATGGATTAGTGCAAGTCACAGTTCTTGAAAACAAAGAAAATATGAGTGTTGAGATGTTCTCTAATGTTTCTGCAATGAAACTTGTTAAATTGATTGGATATAATTAAAACACTAAACATAAATCTGCATTTGTAACTCATCAAGGCTGTTTTGAGTTCAATAGACTACCATTTGGGTTACGAAACTCAGGATGTACTTTTCAAATGATGATGAATAATGTTTTAAGGGGTCTTAACTGGAAGATAGCATTGGTCTATGTTGATGATCTTATTATATTCAGTTCTGATTTTCAAACTCATCTGAAAGATTTGCAGCAAGTATTTGACAGGCTGAAAGAAGCAAACTTAAAACTCAAACCATCTAAATGTCAGTTTGCTAAAAAGGAAGTCAAATACCTAGGACATATTTTATGCAAAGACGGAATTTTAGTGGACAGTTCTAAACTGGAAGCTGTCCGAGACTATCCTCAACCTAAAAGCGTCAAGCAAGTAAGAAGTTTTCTGGGTATGTGCAATTACTACCGGCAATTTATTAAAAACTATGCCAAAATTGCTTCACCATTAACCAAGTTATTACAAAAAGATATTGACTTTGAATGGTCTGATGAATGTAACTACGCATTTAAAACATTGAAAAATCATTTAGTATCGGCACCAATCCTTGTGTTCCCAGATTTTTCAAAACAATGCTCAATTGCTACGGATGCAAGTGATGACGCCATAGGCTATATTTTACAGCAAAAAGATGATCAGAATCGGCAAAGAGTAATTGCTTATGGTGGTAGAGCATTACGTGGTGCAGAGAAACGATACTCTATCACAGAAAAGGAAGCATTAGGAATTGTTCAAGCAATTAAGGAATATGGGCCATATGTGACTAACAACCATTTTATTGTATATACTGATCATGTGGCATTAAAATGGTTAGATAGTTTGAAGGATTGTAATGGTCGATTAGTAAGATGGTCCATATTCTTACAGCAATACCATTTAGAAATTAAACATAAGCCAGGAATTCTAAATGGAAACGCAGATGGACTTTCCAGAAGGACTAGTACCGAAGAAAGCCAGGAGGATTTTCCAGTGTTTACAACAAAAATATCATCCGAGAGACTTGCAGTCACTTTTGAATATGAGTCAGACCAAAATGAGCCAATTGACACTTCTGATCCATTACCTCTAGTGGCTACAGTTGACAAAGAAGGAAAGATACCAGATGACCAAGATATTCATAGAACATGTCCGGTACAAAAGGATCCAAACCTAGGTCATTTGCAACGTCAGTGTCCAGATTTGAATCCAATAATTCAGTATAAAGAAACTGGCAATCTTCCAGATGAGGATAAGTTAGCAAGGTCTATATATCTGAATCCGATCAGAGGGATATGAAATAGAAGAGGGTATCCTTTATTATTATCTTCAGTTAAAACAAAGAGGACAAGAAAAAACTGATAGATTACGCAAATTAATTGCTGTTCCCTCCTCGTTATATGACACTGTTCTAAAATCATATCATGATTCCATGTTTGGAGGGTGTCATCAGGGACAGGAACGACTATATGCAACAATTCGGATGAAATATCATTGGCGCTCGCTTAACGCTGATGTCATTAAATATGTTAAAACATGCGAAGTATGCCAACAAATAAAGAGAAATACACATGCTAGAAGTGTTCCTCTTACTCCACTGCCTGTACAAGAAGTTTTTGGGCGATGGCATATGGATATCCTCCAAGTTACTCCCACTCCTGAAGGGTATAGATACATTTTACTCGTAGTGGATAGTGCAAGCAAGTGGCCAGAAGCTATTCCACTAAAAACCGAGCAAGCACCAGATAAAGCTGATGCCCTTATCCGAGAAATATTTTCAAGGTATGGTGCACCCAGAACATTGTGTTCCCACCTAGGACAGAATTTTATGTCAAATTTGGTAAGTGCGCTGTCACAAATGTTTCAAATAACACGAGTTCATACTACACCATATCATCCATAGACTAATGCTACTTGTGAAAGAATGAACTCGTTTATTGTACAATCACTGAGGGCTTATTGTGATGAGAACCACACTAATTGGCCCAAAATACTACCTGGGGTAATGATGGCTTACCGTTTGAGTCCAGCCACCCAATCAATTGGTTCATCTCCATTTGCCATGCTCTTTGGTAGAGAAATGAGACTTCCCATAGATATCCAGCTGATTCCAAAAGAAACACTACCAAGAGTAACTCAGGAATATCTCCAAAGCAAGAATAAACTCCTTGATATCACACGCGAGATAGCTGCGGAGAATACGAAACAAGCTAAATAAAGTACAAACAACAGCATGACAAGAAGTCTCAAGAACCATCGTTCAAAGTTAAAGATAGAGTTTGGTTATTCTGCTCCAAGGTCAAGCAGGGGTTAGCACCAAAATTGTGCAAGAAATGGCTTGGACCTTATTATATAGTAGACAATAAACCAAACCATACTTTTAAATTACGAAGATTCTCGGATGACAAGCCTTTAAAATCTCTTGTCAATGTTGCTCGTTTAAAACAGTATTATGATCCAGCTACCCGCCCTACTAATATCCCTGAAATATCAGACGGAGAAATGGATCCAGAAGAAATTACTGAGGAATCTGCACAAATGTTGGATGAACCCCAAAATCATACTCAGCCAGACAATACACATCCATTAGATCAGCAACCAACACAAAGACATAAACAGCTGTCAGATGATCAAATTGAAAAAATAATTAAATGTGCAAATTACCAAGGTGGAAAAGTATATAAGGTTAAACTTGAAATTGGTCCAACACAATGGGAGAAAGCAGATTCCATACCAGAAATGTTACGTCAAGAGTTCCATGCAACCAAAACAGCAGATGGAAAGAAAAGAAAACGCCCACTGCAGGCCAATAAATTCTTTTATAACAAGAATCAAATATCTAGCATCCAGAAGGGAACCACTGATCAAGATAATAAAAATAAAATGTCATTTTATAACCTACTAAACAAAGTAACAGCATGTATCAATAAACAAGATGAGAGAAGAATAACATTCCAAATCATTAAAATAAAATATGAAAATACCAAAATCAAGTAGGAAGTAGAAGAGTTAAAAAGAGATATTAAGATTTTTGCAAACAATATAGATAATGACAATTTAAACATAAATAAAGAAATAGAAAGGTTAAAGAATGACAATACTCAATTTGTTAATCATTATAACAATAACTCGAAAAACATTCATAAGGAATTAAAGGATAGCACAATATTGCAAGTTCGCACAGTAGAGTTTTGTGTTAATACTCTCAATGTGCTAAATATTATGACTAACAATATGCAACAGAATAATACATTATAACAAACATTTCCCCTGTGTAATCGGGGCATGAATAGATCCACCGCTGCCCTAACTGAGTGTCGTAAAAGGCGACAAAAACAAGGAACCCACATCCAAATAGATCTAATTTTTATAAAATCAAAATTCCAATATAAAGAATAGGTATGGAGTAGCTAACCATACCTCTCTTTGTAATAATCCACATGTTATGTTAATGACGATTAATATAAAAGGGGATTATCAATATTCAGAATTTAAATTTATTTAGATGGGCATAATATGTTAATACGTTATACAGTTAATTTACATATGTTACAAGTAATTTAGTCATTTTGAAAAATATGATATAATATATGTGATGCCAAATAATAAACGTATAGAAATTAATTATCAAATTATAAAAGTTATCAAAATTAAGTAATTAGTATTTGTATCACTTAATGCTTAAAAGCATAAATATATTCTAAATATGTAAATAAATAAATTCTACTTTTCACTATCCATATATAAAACATAATAGTTAATTTCATAATAAACTTTTATATGACTTTATTAGAAATAAAGTAGGTTTTTCCAAAACATTATAATACCTTTTAATTAGTAATATATATATATATATATATATATATATATGTATAATTCTTTGTTTAATGCGGAAAATGTATACTAATGTAAGGTTATTCCATTTATGAACCTAGTAATTGTGAATAGTGCCATCTACAACTACCAGACTACATAATATTACTCTTTGTTAGTTAAATGTTATTTTACAACAACTCTAAATAGTTATGGTATGGATTTTCTTACTCATAAGGGTCATATGTGTGAAATATCAATTGGGTATAATGATGGTCTTTACTAAATTTAGAGGAGCACATTCATGTATGTTATTGATATCTTGGGGATTATCGAGTATTACATGGTATATTCTTATTATTAATCTATAAAGTGAGCAAGACATGTTTCGGGTATCACAAGTCCAGATTATACAACCAAGATATGCTGGAGACACAACAAAAGGACAAGAAAGAATAATATAGGGTCAACAAAACTTTCCACCAGAAGAAGAAGAAGAGACTGAAATTCAATATGAGAAAATTGACAGTAAAATTTACGGATGAAAAATCATTAAGTTAAGATAGATAATGAAGAGTTTATGTATGATGTTATTCAATGAAGAAAACAGTTTTAAGCTGATAACATCAACATTTTATTTTGTGACTACAAAATTTTCAATTTTGTAAACCACATCCATATGAAGAGAGACATATTTATATCTTGTTACATACAATATTATCATTACTTGTATAAAATCGATTAAACATTATTTTTATGAAATCGATTAAACATTATTATTATAGATCGATTCAACATTATTATTATAAATCGATTAAACATTAATATTATAAAATCGATAAAATAAAATATCATTATTATATTATCGATAAAATATCATTATTATAAAATCTATTAAATATTATTATCATGTTATCATTATCAATAATCGATTATGTTATTAATATAACCTTACCAATATAATATAGTTAAAACGTGCATAGTACCAATATCTATATCACATACTATTTGCAAGTTGTAGGGTGATTTATTTATTCTACATTATCTATAGAATATTACTATGCATAATTTTATGAAGGATTATTGCAGTGCGTTCTTCGAACGCACTGCATTGTTTTGCAAATGACTATTTTTTTGCAGTGCGTTCTTCGAACGCATTGCATTGTTTTGCAAATGACTATTTTTTTTTTTTTTGCAGGGCGTAGCCGTGGTTTGTTTTCGAATTGATTTTTTTTTTTTTTTTCGTCCACGGCAGGCCGGTTTTCTCGGCAACGGCAATAGGTACTTCATGGCGTTTTGTAACTCGTGGCTAATCACTGTTTAAATGTAAAACAAAAACTTAGCAACTGTAAACGGAAAATGGACTGTAGAGGGCGTGTTTATCAACCGATTTTGATCGGGTTCTCTGCATCGTATTTCTTGTAACAAAGGACAAACGATAGCAGTTGAAAATTTTCGATTATCGAAAATTCGTTGCATACTTTTTTTGCCGAAATTAATCGAAAAATACTATTTCGGTTGTTATCGGACGGATTAACTTGAAACTTGCGTGGTGTAGACCGCCAGCATAGAGACATAAAAGTACACATTCAAAATTTTTGTATCACTTCCGGTTTCGATGTTAGTACTTCCGGTGGTATCACTTCCGGAGGAATTGAGTAATGTCAAAAATAATATATGCATTATATTACCAGTCTTAATACAAACTTATTAAACTAAAAAAATCCGCACCGGAAGTAACATGTTGGCCGCCATTTTGGTTTGCCTCATTTTGCAGAAATAGCTATTCAGAGGCCATTTTTCATCTGATTTGCATAACTTTTGTGTCAAACGAAACGTTTCAAGTCCGTCTACAATCCTTAAGCAGCATAATTTTGATTTTCGGTTTTGCCTTTTTTGTAGGACCGGATGTTTTTTTTCAAAGTTTGAACGCGTATATCTCATGACCTTGACCTTTGATGACCTTCATATTTACTACGATGATAATATGTGATCTTGTCTATCTGATGACCTTTTGACCTTTGGGGTCAGAAACTCTTTCCGATTTTACAGGGGTCTAAAAATAGAACATTTTGAGTCTTTGCAGTGCTATATCTCGGTCCCTAATAGAGATATGGCGATAATTCTTTCGATTTTGTAATGTAGAGATTCTGAGGTTTCCAGTGATATAATACATGCATGCCTTACATGCAAATTCAAAACCCATTCACTTAACATGGGACTATTATTAGATAAATCGGCTAATTAGATTAACCTGGCTGTCAACCCCAATACAAATCAAAGTTTAAGTAGTTTTAAAGACACCCTCCCTTTTATATTTCTTTAAAATGTTTTGTGTCCATTTAAGCTATATAAATAGGTTCTAGGATGGATTGAACCTTGTTATACTGTAAGTAAAGCTTACAGAAGCACATTAAAGCCATACCCCCACTTAATTTCCCAACTTTCTTATTTTTTATCCAAATTTCACCGAACTTTGTATGTATGTGTATAATCCAATTCTAAATTTGATGGATATGTCGAATTTGCGTATTGCGCATGCGCATTACTAACTTTCTTATTTCTTATCCGAATTTCATCAAACTTGGTATGCATGTGTATAATCGAAATCTAAATTTGATGGATATATCGAATTTGCGTAGTGCGCATGCGCATTGCCAACTTTCTTATTTATTAACCGATTTTCATCAAACTTGGAATGTATGTGTATAACCCAATTCCAAATTTGATGGAAATATTAATTTTTGTTGTGCGCATGCGCATTACTAACTTTCTTATTTCTTGTCCGAATTTCATCAAAATTTGTACGTATGTGTATAATCCAATTCTAAATTTGATGGAAATATTGAATTTTTGTTGTGCGCATGCGCATTAACAACTTTCTTATTTCTTATCCGAATTCGACCAAACTTGGTAAGTATGTGTACAATCCAATGCTAAATTTGATGGAAATATTGAATTTTTGTTGTGCGCATGCGCATTACAAACTTTCTTACTTCTTATCCGAATTTAATCAAACTTGGTATGTGTGTGTATAAACCAATTATAAATTGAATGGAAATAACCAATTTTTGTTGTGTGCATGCGCATTACCAATTTTCTTATTTCTTATCCGGATTTCATGAAACTTGGTCTTTATTAATTGACAAACATTCTTTTATTCCTAGTCAATATACTTTAAACTCCAGGCACTTTTGCATGTTTGCATTTAGAGATGCAGAAAAGTATTTACATCAATGTAATTGCAATAGACTATCTTCGTATGTACCTGAATGTCGTAACCCGCCCTGCATCAGTACTGTTATTAGAACAGTTCTAGTTTTTTTTTTTTTTTTTTTTTTGTCTACTTCTGGTCACGCTCCCCAGCCAAAACTGCACATGTCACACATTGTCTGACACAATTATTTCTTATACTTTGCGTGTCGCTACTGATTAAATGTAAAATGACGCATTTTCTTCCAACCGGAAATGACGTATGACGTTAACCATTCATTACGTATTTCGAATTACTGCTCTAATTCTGCGTCTATTTTGACCGTAACTTTTGTTTTGTTCATTACTTTAAACCAATCACTAAAAGATAGCGCTTTATAAAATTTCAGATTTTGACTTTTGTCGCTGACTTTTTTTGTTTTAATTTTAGCGTTTTTTTCAACTTCTACAATTTTATTTCAATCGGTCTAAAAATTTAATAGTAGATAAGAATTTTGATTCCTGACAAAAATCTATTTTCAAAATTTCGATATCACTTCCGGTTTTGACGTCATTCGCCTCTAAACTTGAAATTTCAACTTCCGGAATTTTGTAGGTATTTGAAAAATTCTTTTTGAAATTAGTTAAAATTGTCCCTATAACAATTTTGGAATGAAAAAATTTGAACCGGAAGTAACGTGTTAGACGCCATCTTGATGTGACCAATTTTTGTAAAAATCGATATTAAGCTTCAGGGGTAAATCTGATTTGTGTGATTTTGGTGTCTAAAGAATCTGCAATCGATTGCTAAGAAAACTTAGGAAGCCGATTTTTGAATTTTGGATTCGTATTTTTTTTATTTCCGGTTTTATGTTTTCAGTAATTGTCAAAAATATTAAGGCTCATATCTAGTGACTTTGACCTTTGGTGACCTTGTGAACTGAACAAAAGTTGTTGCCCCATACGAGATATATCCGTTGATATCCTCACGT